GGTGGGCATCCCTCTTTGAGTAGCATTGTGCTATATTGGATATTAGGTACTTGGTGCTTTATATGTCATCCTAGGTATTTTAAGTAATGTATATACCTTTCAATTTAATTATTTATTTTCATGAAAAAATTAAAAAAAGTAAGAATTATTTATTCTCGACGACGTTGTTGATGGTATTGATAAAAAAATAGGTCTAGCTTTAGGGCCCATAATTATTGTATTTAGTATGGCTTTTTTCTATGATAATTGAAGATATAGTATATATATTTGCCTATTGGTTATTCCATTATTAAGCTAATTAATTACTCCATAATTAAGAGAATAAAAAAGTATTTGCCAAAAAATAAGGAAGGTTAAGGTTAGTGATAGTTATCTGGAAAGCAATGATTAATAACGATGGGGCTCTTTGGGTGAGGGTGTTAAGGGTCCGATTATTTGGTTTCAGGAGTAATTTTTTTTTTAAATATAATGTTAATATGTCTTATGTATAGATATTGAATAAAGTATGGAATGGATTTAAAGATGAAAATGGATGGGTTATAGAAGAATATTGTAGCAGAATGAGGTTTGGCATGGTAACTAGGTTAGTGAAATGGGTGAACCAAGATGCTAAAATGAGTTAAATGACTTAAGGGTCTATGATATGGTGGATGGCATCAGGTATCAATGTCTTAATATTATTACCTTCCACGTCTAGAAATCTTGGTTTCGTTACTTTTTTTGTATTTCATCCTTCATAACTTGCTTGGTTTTGAATTTATTTTCATAAAATGTTTAGTTTATTATCTATGATGTTATCATATTCTCAAATAAATTGTTGGGGATTTCGATTGGTGATATTCTGATAGTTGTCCATTGGAGGTTAAACACACTCATACAATATTTAACGTGGTTCGGTAAATCACCTACATCCATGAAAGAAGTCAATATTATTAGAGATAGATAGAAAAAGGGTTACAACACACATGAAGGAGGAGGATCACTTCACTCAAACTCAACTCTCTTGGTAGTCACTCCACTTTCTCTTTTCTTTTCTCTTGTTCTTCTACTACACACTCTT